CTGAAGGAGAAAGGAGCAGAAATTGAAGGTAAGAAAGAACTTTATCACTAGTGATGCACTTAACTTATTGGATCCAGGTGCCTCGTAGTGCAGGTGTGGACCAAAATCCAGTCATTAAGCTTCCTTGGGTGGCAACTATCCCAGGTGTGTGGCTTGTAGGCCCAACCCACACTTACACTTATGCATGATATCGATAAGTTTTGCCTTCTCTTTGCACTGCTATTAGCCCTTTTTCTCCAGATATATTTTTGCAGTTTTGCCCTTTTCTGTTTTGCTTATGAAGATGACATAAGACCATTATCGTTTGAGTAGATCCATAGTATTAATAACAGTGACAATAAGAAACATTTTTTTTTATTTTTTTTATTCAACCACCAATAATGGCATGCAGGAATAGTTTACAACATATGGACATGGTGTCCTTCCTGAATATAGCCCTTTCCTAGCCCTTTAATTATTATTGTTACACTCCAAGTACAATACACCCTCTTTTCCAGGTGGTATCCATAGTGGCAAGTGGCCACTGCCAGGAACCCCCACCGCAGGCCACCAAGTCAGAGTGTAAGCAATGACTTTACACCCCTTCTATAGCCTTGGGAGTATACTGAAGATTATGCTTTTGAGAAATGAAGATAATGTGTTGTGTGATAGTAAAGCTAAAATGCAATCTTATCGCTTGTTGCCATGGTTGGAAAATTCAGTATACAGTGCAGATTCTCATAATGCCATGGGTGTTGCTCTCAATAACACATTTGCCAAGATATTGTCAGTTTTTTTTTTTCTTTTTCCTATGGATAGCATCACTGGGCTGTGTGCCAAGCCTTGAAGTACCATACATGCAGAGATCTACATTGCAGTCAGGGCAGAAGCTCCTGCTGCTGCTCCTCCAATGACCTTGCCCTGATCACCAATAACACCTCCTCCTTCTGCAGTCAAGTATTTCAGTGACAGTGTGCCGCTGTTGTAGGGCCCGACTTGCTGTGTGGTTCCTTGTGGAGTTGGCCCCTTCTCATAGCTCAAGGCATTGACAATGGCCATGTCAATGAGGACGACCTTCCTGTACCAGACATTAGACAAGTGAGTCCTCAGATAGTAGATCGCCATCTGATCACCAATGCTGACACCTTTCATACCAACATTGTAATCCACTACCAACAAAGGCTTATCCCAATCCATTGCTGTGATATGGACTGTTAACCCCTTCCCGATGGGTCACGCCGTGAGGCATCATGACAAACTACTCAATCTGCGGCGTGCAGCTGTACACCACGGCAGCACGCCAAAGCACTACAAGCCGGTGATTCTGTTTGATGTACCGAACTCTTGCACTCAAAGTCGGTGCGTTGTCATTGATCGCCAGAGCATAGAGTTTTTAAAAATTTCCTTCACTCATCACCAAGGGGTTAGTGGTGTTGTGGTCCTTCCACTGCAAAGCCAGCAACTCAGTCTTCCTGCTGCAGTAGTCAACATCATACCGAGGTCCTTGGATATAAACTTCCTGTACAGCAGGGCTGTCCCTACCACATTCGTCCCTTTTGCCTCGCCCTCTTGCTCAGGTTGTAAGCCTTGAAAACTAGTCAACAGAACTTCTACAATGACTTGCAGATGACAATGTCCTGCCCCAGCATAAACAATGACTGGAACAAGTTGTTGAGGGGCTCCACAACTGGTTGGAGTTTCAACATCCTGTCCTCCAGGAGAAATAAGTTCATGATGAAGTAGTGATAACTACCAACCCCATTATCATACGGATCCTAAGGTATGCCTAGAGCTCCTGTCTGGGTGTGAGCATCCACTTCCTCATGTGAGGCAAGGCAGGCAGAGGGTGAGCAGCTGAATACCTGTAGGAGTGAAAAAGAAATACAAGTAATACTTTCTGATTGCTCAATGCAAGAGTTATTTCCTTAATGAGAATACAAATGGAGAGACCACAAAAGCAAAAATTACAAACTTACCAGTTGATCTCTATGACAATTAGGTCAAGGTGATCTTCAGTGAAAAAACAGCAGAAGGGTGTGGTCACTTTGACCCCAAGATTGCCCTGGAAGCCAAAACACTTGGGGACATTGTCCTTCCATCGCAACACAAAATTCCTAGTCCTTATAGCATTTCTCTGCAACAGCTTGGCAGCCACATTGGAAAGGGGCTGGTCACTATCAAGTGTGGTATTGACCTGTGAAATGTAGTCCAGTTCATCCTCTGAACTGGATACATTGAAGCAGAGGTCGATGAATCCAGTTTGTCCTTTAAATTGGAAACACTGAAGTACAGGTTGATGGCGTCCTCCACCCGACCAGGCAACCAGTCACCACCACTCTTCTTGGTAAAGTTGAAAAAGGTAGGAAACTGGGAGGGAGACAGAGATTGGCACAATGAACAGCACTGAAGCACACTTGGCAGGAGATATACCGATGAAGTTGATGGCTGGGGGTCATTGACTTCAGAGGAGGAGCATCTTCAAAAGTGTGTAATGAATGAGGTGCAAGTACCTATATATGTATATATATATGAAAATTCCTGCACTTCAACCTGGCATAGAAATTGGAACTAACAGTAGTCAATGAAGTCAGAGCAACCTGGATCAAATGTCACATAACATGACCAATCAATTCAAATATCATTTCACTTATTTCTAATCTCTTTGCATGTTTCCTATCCCGACCTAACCTTGCTTTCTCTTTCTTCCTTAAATGGCTTGAGAGACAGCTCACTGTTCCTATTGATTGGTTGTTGTTATTGTTTGTACTATAGGCATATGCATAGCAATGGGGACAACACTCTATTGATGCTAACTTTATATAAATTTATTTGTTGAGTATAGCGTTAGAATCTTCCCATATAATACACAGGGATATGATAGTAGATACAGATATCATCATCATCATTTGGGAGCTAACGCCGGCAGGGGCGCTTAGCCGAATCCACCCTTTGGTTCCACCTACAGGGGTCCCTCATGGCGAGCCGTCAGGAAGGGGCCCGGCCCATCTCTAGTTCTTCACAAGTTTGATTGATCTGCCCAAGCCACAACCTTCTCGGTCGTCCCACAAGCCTCCTCCACCCAGGGTTGTCACGGACAGAGACAACCTGATGGGCAGGATCATCCTGCGGGAATCGAGCCAAGTGGCTGTATAGCCTGAGTTGGTGATCATATGGTCCCTCCAGCTGTACCCCATGATCCGGCACAAGGATCTATTACAAAAGGCATCAAGATGAGATTCCAGAGCACAAGATAGTGTCCAAGTTTCACTATCATATAGTAAAACTGGCAGTATCAGGGCCTTGAAAACACGTAGCTTGGTCCTTCTGCACAGGTACCGGCATCTCCAAATACTCTTGTCGAGAGATTTCATGACCCCTGCTGCAAGGCTAATCTGTCTACTGACTACATTTCTGACAGCTCAGAGTCGTGAACTGCACTACTGAGGTATATAAAGCCCTCTGTGACTTTGATGTTTTCACCGCAAGCACGTACCGACGGCACAGGGTCTCCTAGTAGGCCCCCAAAATCCTGAATCTTGGTCTTGGTCCAGGAGACCTCTAGCCCCAGGGGCTTCGCTTCATTGCTAAATGCATCAAGAGCCGCCACTAGGGTTTCCAGAGATTCAGAAAGAATGGCAACATCATCAGCAAAGTCAAGGTCTGTAACCTTGATATTGCCCAGAGTTGCTCCACAGTGACTTTGGACAGTAGATCTACCCAGTATACAATCCATGCAAGTGTTGAAAAGTGTTGATGCAAGAACACAGCCTTGCCTCACGCCTGAACTAACAGGGAAGAAGCTCAACAGGCCCTTACCACACTTTACTGCACTCTCAGTGCCTGTATACAGGTTTGCTATTAGTCCAACAATCTTTGTTGGAATTCCTCTTAGCCTCAGGATCTCCCAGAGTGATTCGCGATGCACCATATCAAATGCCTTCTTGAGGTCGATGTAGGCTGCAAGCAGCCCACATCCGAACTCATGACAGCTCTACAATGACTCAAAGCACCAGGATGCGGTCTAGTGTGGACTTACCAGGAGTGAATCCCGATTGCTCCGGTCTTTGGTGCCTCAGCAGGTGGTCTCTGATATGTCTCAGTAGAATGTGTGTTAGTACCTTGCCTGGTACACTGTGTAGTGTAATGCTTCGGTGATTGCTGCAGTCCCACCGATCCCCTTTCCCCTTCCAGAGAGGGATGACCACACCCCTCAGAAGATCAGGGGGAATGGTACCAGTCTGCCAGATGGCAGACAGGACTGCATGCAAGCCCCTTGCCATAGGTTCTCCACCAGCCTTTAACAATTCAGTTGGGATGCCACAAACAGCTGCTGCTTTACAACTCTTCAGCTTGGAGATTGCCCCCTTGACTTCAGTAAGGGAGGGTGGATCCTCGCTGATGGGTGGGTCTGGCAGAGGAATCTCAACATTACCCGCATCCAAGTTAACTGTTGGTGGATCAACCTGATACAACTGCTCAAAATACTCAGCCTAACACACATGCACCCCATCAGGATCTGAGATTATCTGGCCACCTGCTGAGCAGACTGCAGTCGTCTGTGAGAAGGGCTTGGAGTTCAGCTTTCTCAGGGCTTGGTAGGCAGGACGAAGGTCATTTACTAAGAAATGGCTTTCGACCTCCTCTGCAAGATTACTGATAAACTGTTCCTTATCACTTCTCAACAGTGACCTAGTCCTACGAACCAGAGAACGGAGCAAGTTGTGATCCCCTGACAATCGAGCTGTGCGACAAGTATCTGTAGCTTCCAGTGTCTCCTGTGAGATGGAATTCTGTCTTGCTCTTGGGCGTTCACCAATGGATTCCTGAGCTGCATGTGTGCTGTGTGTGCTGTGTGCTGTGTGTGCTGTGTGTGTGTGTGTGTGTGTGTGTGTGTGTGTGTGTGTGTGTGTGTGTGTGTGTGTGTGTGTGTGTGTGTGTGTGTGTGTGTGTGTTGTGTGTGTGTGTGTGCGTGTTTGTGTGTGTGTGTGTGTGTGTGTGTGTGTGTGTGTGTACATGTGTGT